GAATGAATGAAGGAATTAAATAAATTGAGTTAACACCAGGCCAGGCGAGAGCAGACCGTGTTGGAATTTTCATTGTCTATTCGTGACTGTTTGTTTGTTTTTTTTTTGGCTGTCTGTCTCCCGCAGACAACAGTGAGCAACAAGTGTCGCCGTTGTCGCTGCAACAACAATGGAAGAACATGACACGCTTGCCGAGAACACGCTCAGCATCCAGCATGTGGCCAATAGCAATAAATAGCAATACTGACTGTTGACAGTTGGTGTAATCAAATTTGACACAATAACTGCTGAATACAATGTCGGCTAAAACAACAAAGCGGCTGAAGCGGCAAAAGGTGTCTATTTAAATATTTAATTAATTGCAGCCAAGTTTAAATTGAAGTCTAGCTATAACTAATTTGCGAATAATTGTCAGCCATTAGTTTTTATGACAAGGTTTCGGCGATTAAATAGATGTACATTTCATTTCTCAATTATATCCGAATAGTGTCACTGACAATTTCACTCCAAGTGAAATATTCACTTTCAAAAGGTGGCTATCAAATGTTTATATTTTGTATTACAAAATAATCTGGTCCGATCCGATGGTTGCTCCTTTAATATTTTCATATATAAACGAAAAATGTGTTGCTTATTATTGGGGAAAATATCCTATTCGCCACTCTGTCTGTTAAAAAATTATGAATATATCTACAATTGAAGGGACTAACAATTCTTCCGAATCAAAAACTACATAAAGTCAACTAATTTTTCGCGGAAGCTTCCTTCTATACGCAACATTCCATAAATATCCACCATTCTCGTGGCTGTGTGTGTGTGTGTGAGTGTGGTGTTCATGCGGTCGCCCGCTCATGGACAACTGCATTTGTGTTTTATTTGTTGGAATATCCCTTGAATCGTCTGCCTGCGTAGATTGTAGCATTGAGTGGCGTGCACACAGACACAGAAACACACACACACACACACTCTTACATGTACCAAGCAATGGATGGATGACCTTCACTGATGGTCGCCACATGGCCATGGCGGTTCATGCAGTTTGTACTTTATAGTTTAACAGCCATTAACTGTGACATTACATGGATAAAAGAGCGACGCGAGCGAGTGTAAGTGTGAGTGTGTATGTGTGTGTATGTGCGATGGTTGTGTTAAAGTAAACTCAAAAACTGGCCTTTGGAGCCATCTATTATTTCACTTCCTGTCGGTGTCGTTTGTTGCGGTTAATATTGCATTAAATATACCCGACAGGAATGCATTTGTTAGGTAGCGGGATGGATGGAAAACAGCTGTCGTTGTTTATTATCGTCTAAAAGGATAATTAATTATCCTGATAGTAGTTATGTGTAAACATAAGTGGTTTAATGTGACCTAATTAAATTGAATGTTATTTTCTGTATTTATTGGAACAGCGAACTGGATATCGAACAACATCCAGTCGAAACAACCGGTGTCACCATTTAAAGATTTTTTCATGGAAGGAGTTTTAACAGATCGTATAGCCTATATATACATTTTTGAAATAAAGACAGAATCCTAGAGCTTTAGGTTTTGACACTAGAATTCGCATTATAGACATATTTAATATAGGCTACATCGGTCCGGTTAAATTGCAGCTCACATTTATAGGTACCACAATATCCAACTGAACCTGTTGTAATTTGTCATTTCGGGTCCCCAATAGGTTAAATCCCTTTCGGTCAAAAAAGTTTAATGTTCCAAGAGAATCGACCCTTTCTAATAGAAGATGCAACATCAACGTTTCTAATATTAAATAATGTTGGAGTAATTGCCCTTTAGATTCAATCTTCTATTATTATATTTGGATTAATTCGTTTGTAGCATAAAAAGGATTGCAGAATATTTATCCAGCCCTTTTCGCTGTTTCTAAAATGAAACCTGAGCATTGGTGGAACTAATTTGCTAAAACATGTGCGAATTCTAATCACAACCCCTTTCTTATTCCAACAAAACTTAGACTTGAGTTGAACACTCCACTGTCACATAGACGGCTTTGTTAATCCTACATAGCTGGAAAAATTCCAAAAGTCTTTTGAGGACTAGAAAAAAGATTAGAGTTCAACAAAAAAATAACAACACACACACACACACAAAACTAAACAAAGTAAAGTAAAAACAATATCACAAACGAGCAACACGAATTGAAACCAAAGTGAAACTAAGGAACTGGAAAATTCCATTTATTTGAAATCCATGGAGGGAGACGACAAATACAACGACCAGCCATCATCTTCATCAGTGATCCAGAACAAAAAGTCCATTACTTACATTGCTCACGTGTTCGTCCTTTTGGCTTTGTTTAGCGACCACACTCACACACACATACACACAAGGACTACAAATGTGTAACAAATTGATTAACAACCGACCAACAACACAAGCCCCTACCTCGCTCGGAAAAATTATCTTCCGCACATGTTGGTGTGCACTTGTAAGCTATACGACCATCGTGGGTTATGTTATTTACGTAGAAGCCGTGTGGAGTTTTCTGTGGGAACGAAGAAAGTAATCTGAAAATTTTTAGAAAATGTTGAAATGTGCGTGAGTTAGCAGATATAGTCGATCGAGGTATTCCATGCTCATACTTCATCTAATACCGATAAAAATAAATAAAAAACGAAATCTAGCATGTATATCCAATTTTAAGCGAAATCATAAATTCCATATTCATCTCAGGTTTCTGGTTGAGAGAAATATTTAGATATAGAAAATTATAAAGAATCGTTGACGTGTTATGACAGATAAATCTATTGAAAATTGTGACCCTTTGTGGGTGAGGTACCAGAAGGGGTTCGCAGGTATGAATGATCATCTTCACAACAGATCTTGAGTTAGCAAAAATGTTTGTATGTGTACAATTTGAAAAGAGTTGGATGCTTATTTCTCTTTCTTGGAGCCTTTTTGTTTTTCAAAATCTTGAACCCTTCCATCTTTACACCAGATCTTGTGTTGATGGAAATATTGAGCTGTACCAAGTCTGAATGGAATCGCATGTAAATTTCGCGTTTTATGAGCTTCATAGATATTCAAAATGTTGATCCTGTTGTAGATCCTGCAGTAGATCTTGTGTTAGTAGCAATACTCGGATTTTATAATCGTTTTAGTTATTCAAAACTTTGAGCCGTTGAGAGGGAGATACCAGTAGAAATTGCCCGATCTCTACCATCTTTATAACAGATCTTGTGCTGATAGAAATATTGAAATGTGCCAAGTCTAAATGGAATTGGATGTTAATTTCGTGTTTTATGAACTTCATAGATATTCAAAATGTTGACAATTTTGTGGGGGCGAGTGTACCTGAAGGAGTGGGCCTATATATTCTATCTTCACACCAGACCTTGGGATAAAAAGAACATTGTGATATGTGTAATTTGAAGACAATCAATTATAAGAGCTATAATTACTCAAAATGTGGATACTTTTGGCGGGAAGACCTTTTGGGGAGAAGTACCCATAAAGGGTCAAGAGTTTGAATAATCATAACTCTGGAGCTGGAGGTATACCTCTGTCGGAAAATCCGACTAATACTATTTTACTTGCTTTTGAAAATTTCGACCTTTTGTGGGGGAGGTACCAGAAGCGATGGACCGATATTGCCCATCTCCGAACTCGATCTAAGTTTAATAATAATATAACAATGTACCAAGTTTGGACCAAATCGGATATTCCCTTCGAGAGTTATCGTGCACATCAGCCAGCAAACAGACAGACGGATATCGCTAGATCGACTCCATAAATGTCCTGAAACGGATTTGGTCCAAAGAGATCTATATAAAATAAAATTGTTATTTCATAAATACATTTCTTATACATATGCTGAGATACCCTTTGAATTACATTCGAAACTTAACTGTTTTTTTCTGACAAATTTTCATTCATGGGAAACAGTCTTTCAAATAGTCTAGAACAACGACAATAAGTGGAACAATAAACGCGGCTTGTGTTTTTAGAGTTTTCCCTCTTTTTTACATCTTAACAATAAAGGGAATTATCATCGGTGGCACCAGTACCTTCCAGATTGTACGAGAACAGAAAAAGAACATCGAGAAGAAGAAAATCAATTTCGCCATATTTCAAAAACATATTTTTAGATCCTTAATCACAATATTTTTTCTGGATTAATTGCATCCACCTTCTTAGCAGTCACACTTACACACCTACAGAACACCAATATCGACAATAGGATGGCGTATGAGCGTTGGTTGCAAGTACCCATTACTCATACGCCTCACTTTAAATTATTTTTAATCAACCAAGAATAGTCTATAATTCTTCTAAAAATCTTTCCAATATCAAGACGTACACAAATCAATTCACATCTCCAAATGTTCTGCACCAACATTGTCCTCATAGAAAATTAGAAAAAAAAACAACCATATATAGTCTTGAAGTCGTGAAAACTCTCCAGCACACCTTCGCATGCCTTTGGCAAGCGAGCGTATTTAATCTCATTTAATGTGATTGACTTTCTTACGACGGAACAAATCAAAATGGGATATAAGGAAAATCAGGCGGAAAATAAACTAAATAACACAAAAAGGGGGAAATTAGAATTGTATTTAACAGCGGAATTCCAGAGGACGATGAATTTCAAATAACCATTGGTACACACAACAGTCGGAAGAACAGAACAATGGAAGAAAGCACACACATACACACACACGAACATTACAAAGTTTGTGTGGAGTTTTTTCCTTTTGTTCAGATTGCCCGCGTGTGGGTAATCTCAGGTCAGCAGTGGCATTACTTTGTTGTTGTTGCAGTTAATCATCAATCGTTTGTGGTGGCAACGAAGAAAAAAGAAAACCAAATGTTTCTGACATTCGTTCCGAATCTAATTAATGAGAGATTTTGTTTTTGCCAACAATAGGCCTCGAAACTATTGCTAAGACCTACTAAAATGAGGATTTCCGGATTAAAAGTTGTTATTAAGTTAAAAGTTTTCTTTCTCTCTATCCCTCCTCCTCTCTTTGTTCACATAGCGCACAACTGGAAAATGCCAACTAGCCAGCCGTCCTCGTTGGAGCACGATGATGACAGCACAAATCCCAACAAGACTTCCAATCAGGCGGACAATGACCAAAAGAATTCCACAACAACGGGACCCAATGAATCGAACCTAAGCAAACGGGGTTCACAGTCACACAATGCCGAAGAACACAGAGGGTCCGCGGGAAGCACTGCCATAACGCAACACAGGAACAGTGGGTCGAGAGACTCGAACGGCGGCAAGGCCGTAGACCTCTACATACGGGGTCCCGATGGCGGAGGAGGTGGCGGCGGAGGCGGAAGCGACAGTGTCGAAGATGCTGGCGAAGAGACTGATGTTATTGGCGATCTGGTTGGTCATTTCGGCAAGTGGCAGTTCCTGATGACCATACTGCTGTCGCTGTTCCAAGTACCCAACACCTTTCACATATCGTCGTCCATATACCAAGTGCGTCCGTTGACTGACATTTACATAATTCTCTCCCCTTTCTCTAAAGTCTGTTTGTCATGTCTGTTTTAAAGGCGGCCAGCAAGGATTTCTGGTGCAAACGACCCACTCACCTGCAGCACTTGCCCGTGGACGTGTGGCGCAACCTGAGCAATTCCAATGACAATTGCTTTCAGAATCTGGTGGACTGGGGAGGCATTAGCAACGAAACCATGCAGCAATTGCAACAGGTACGTATGGCCGGCCTGTGTGGGAGTGACCACACGGGATTTTCGGAAATGGAAGCTCACATTGTTTTTGTTTTTGTTGGCATTGCCGTCTTGTCTGGTATTGTTACAGCAAGGATCCGTATTCAAGAGTTTCATTGGCAACAATGAGACACGGCGAGCCTGCTCAGCCTGGGAATATGCCGTCGACGATAACGTGGGGAACAGTTGGACCTCCCAGTGGGACCTGGTGTGCGACAAGGAGTATTTGAAAAATGTGGCCGAAATGTTTTTCCTGTTGGGTGTGGCAACGGGTGGCATCATCTCCGGTTATCTTTCTGACAAATTCGGCCGCAAGACCATGCTCTTCATATCGGCTGTGCTGCAGACCATATTCGGTGAGTATGCCTCTGTCAATTGTAGATTGCAAACCGACACGAACGTGCAAGGACATACAAGGACACACATTGAGGAAGCAACCAGTGAATGAGATTCACTGTGACTTTGAACTTGACAGCCTGCTTTGCGGTATTCACCTCTACACCTGGCCAATGACAAAACTGGCACTAGGAAGCACCTTCACTTGAGGTGGCCACAAACAAAAAGACAAACGGACAGACACACCGACCGACAGACACGTGGCTGGCTGAGTCTTCTTAATTGTTTTAATGTCACTTATCAGCCGTACTCGATTCGTTTGAAGAACAAGGTTTAATTGAGAAGGTCCTTTTGATGAGGATGCTACAATGAGTGCTGCAGCATGCATGGCCGAACATGACTGGATTGCAATACCGATGTTGTGTTCCAACAACACCTACACAAACGAGTAGGTGTCCCAAACACCCAGTTGATTGTTCGAACCACAATGTGAATGAATGTTCAACATGCACCCACACACACACATGCACACACTCACACAATCACAACTACAGACTATGCAAAGCAATTACAATTGTCCTTTTGTGATGTCATTGCTATGACTACTGAAGTGGTGGTGCTCTTTCCCAGCAGCACTTTAATGGAAATTTAAAAATAGCCATTATTTAAATTTGTATTTCGATTTGAACAATTCAGATTTAAAATAGAATCGATGTAGGATATATGAAACACACACACACACACGAATACAGGTATACCATCGAACATAAATAAAAAATACAAAAAAAAAACATTGATTTGTTTATCTCTCATTGACATCCTGAATATCCTGTGTATTTTTTATATTTATCGTCATAAATACAGTTATGTTTAATTTCAATTTCAAGGAATTGAGAGGCGTTACTCTGCATCCCCGATAGAACGCAATTGATGCTGCTGACATTATTCAAATCAGCAGCGAAAACAATTCTGGGAAACTTTTGAAATTGATTTTAGGAATCTCCTGAACTGCCAACAAGGAAGATGTGAAGATGTTACGTAAACATTTCCAGGGAAATATTGTTTTGTATTTGTGACCATTTTTTCAATAACAATTGAGTCAAAATAAAAAAGGAACTCCCACCGGCTTGGCACTTTGTCCCATTCTGTGGCATGGTAGGTGTTTCCGCACGTGTTGCATAAGAGGAAAGCTACACACACTGTTAGTGGTTTACACAATTAGCCAAATTTTGATGAGCTAATGTATAGCTCAGAAATTTATGGATTCAATACTTCTAAAAAACATACATATCCACTTAGTCAGAGTAAAATAAATAAACGGCTACAAATAGCATTTGAGAGGGGAAAAAATGTTGTATCTGCGAAATGAGATGATTCCTGCAGAAATTATACTCCAGTGGAGCTGTCCATGTAGTCCGATCAGGTCATAATTCCAGTTTGAAGTTTGGCAACAATTCGTAGCCGACAAATAGACTGACAGCCGACACATAGCTATATCGACTCTGTCCATGGGTATACTACGATCACTAAAAGGCTGGCTTATGACCAAAATTTCGAGGTGTTACGAACTTCACAGCTGAGACATACCCCGCCCTCTCCTCATAGTTGTGTGGCACATCTGGTTCGAATCAAAAATTGTTTCTTTTATTTATGTATTTATGTGTGTGTGATTTTTTTCTCATTTCAGGATTGGCATTGTACTTCCCCCATTCATTCGAATTCTATATAACGCTCAGAGCCCTACTGGGTCTGGTATCAGTGTCCGTAACCTATTCGGGCCTGATATTAGCCATTGAATATGTTGATGGCAAATGGCGTACCATAGCCGGCATGTATAACCTGTTTCCACTGCCAATATCATACATGGCTATATCCGGTATCGCCTATCTGACGCAGGATTATCAGCGGCTTCAGTTGTGCATTGGAATACCGGGCATTTTCCTTTGTTTTTTGTGGTGAGTGGAAATTTTAATTGCTGTAGCTTCCCATAGATAAATGGGAGTAATAAATTATTATGCCATCGTATCGCCCTCTTTCTAGGTTCGTAGTGCCTGAATCGCCACGCTGGCTGCTTGTCAAGGGACGCATCGACGAAGTAAAACAAATTGTGGAAGCCGCAGCCCACTTCAATAAACGTGACTTGCCCAGCGACTATGAGACGCTGCTGAAACCACCGCCCCAGGAGGAGAACTCCCAGGACTTCTTTTACTTGTTCAAATCACGCTACCTGAGGCGAATTACGATTTGTTTCCTTTGCATTTGGTTCACCATGAATTTGGCCTACTATGGCTTCATCCTGAACATGAACACGTTTGGTGGCAATGTTTATTTGAATTCGGTAAGTGAGCTATGGCAGCCGCAACGTACCATCCCATCAGCCCACTCGCATTCATCCATCATTCGCCCAGCGTTTATTAAACACTTGTTGATTTTATTTTTCTTTAATTATTCACACCGAAATGGAGAAAACAATTTCAGATTTCCAAGACATGAATGCTGAGGAGGAAGCGATGCGGGGGAGGTGGGCGGTGGCATAATATTCTAATGGCCTTTTCAATCAGGCAATAAACATCACGGCGATAAACATTTAAAACTTTCAGCATTCAACATGTGGAAAATGTTTACATGGAATGTTTCCCAGACAGTTTTGCACCCTGGCATACACGCACACATACACATAGGCCACATACATAATTGCTTGTATTTTGATATCACAAGCAAAGCAACAATACACGGCTGGCCAATATTTTGGCAAAATGCCCATGAATTGTTAAAAATTATGTTTCGCTGGGTCTCCAAGACAGTGGTTTGCAAATCACAGACAAAGGACAATTTCTCTTTTTGTGAAGGGTTCGACGTAAGCCTTTGTCAGGAACGCCATCTATAATGTAGCTTATTCCAATATGAAGGAACCATTTTTAATACTGCTTTCATGGATAGTAGTTCCGATGGTCAGAAATGTGAAAAGATATGATAGTTTGCGTTGAAGTCTTATTTTAAAATTGACCCAATTTAATACCAAAATGGGGGTTAAAATTTTGACTTTTCGTCAAGAAGGCCAAAAAAGAATTAGACCAAATACTCGTCATTTTCGGAACGGACAGACTCAGAGCGACCTGAAAATGACTTTATTCAAACATATCAGAAACCGATCCATTTATAGTCCTGAGTCTAAGTGTTAAAGGTATTTCAGGGTTGTATAAGACGGGGCTCATAACCAAACGGCGCATTGATTCTTCTGATAATTCTGGAATGATGTCTTACAAGTTATGTTATTTTAATATCAGTTTATTTTTCACCCTTTGTGATAGTTTTGCATAGCTTTTAATTGCATAAAAAAAGACTTTCTATGAAAGACGCTTCCTTACCAATTTGCTGTCGCAGTGCCCCCGTGCTGAATGTCAGTTCATCTGACAGGGGAATGTGTAAACATGGATAAATTGTTGTTGATGCCTGCTCACATTTCGTATTGTTTGTTAAGGAGAAGCATTGCCCATTCACTCCCATCCCCCCGCCCTCCCAATCCTTTATACACATTAAAATGATGGATGGTGACCGCAGGCAGATATTTCTCCTCTTTTTTGTTGCAGACATGTATTTCAATATTTAATTTTTCGTACACAATGTCGAATGCAAAAGTGATGGTCGATGGAGTTTTACACTTAACTAATTATGTGATTTTATTTCTCTTCACTTCCTAATTTAGGCTCTAGCTGGCCTGGTCGAGATACCCGCCATTGCAATTGCCATGTACATCATCTCGAAGGTGGGTAAGAAGTGGCTCTTCAGCGGTACTCTAATTTGTGCTGGCATTGCCTGCTGTTGTGCAGCCATCACCGAGGGCAAGGAGGACATTTTGTGGTTGAAAATCACTTTTATTATGATAGGTGAGGAGGGTGGGGGAGTGGAGTGCGAATAAAGATAATATGAAGTAATTGAAATGCATTTCTTGTGCCTTGCAGGGAAATTCACAATAAGTGCTGGCAACACAATTATGCCCGTTTACACAGCCGAATTGTACCCGACCGCCATACGTAATGTGGGTGTGGGAGCTTGTAATGTGGCTGCTGGCCTGGCTCTAATATTGACGCCGTATTTATCGCTCTTGGTAAGACTGTCGAGAATGTCCAACTTATGCGAATAAAACTTTTTAATGGTTTCGTTTCGTTTCGTTTTATTTGTTTTAGAATAAAATCGAAGATCATTTACTGATGTCACTTCTAACCGCTTGGTGTTTATTTGGCGGATTTGTGGTTCTCTTCTTGCCGGAAACAATGAAACAGCACGCAGCTAACACAAAAACCAAGGAAGAAAAGTAAGAGAAAGTAAAAGTAAAATGGAAAGAGATCCCCAGAAAATGTATTTCTTTTAAAATAGAGAAAAGCTTTTATCTTCTCTCTCTTGCTGATTTTCATAATTGAAATTAAAAATACGTATTTATTCAAATGTTTTTCACGTTTAAACCTTTGGAACGTTGAACTTTAAAAACAACACTTGTTGAATTGAAAAGGACACTACGTTGTCTATAAAATACGAAACAGGAATTGAGTTTTGGACCAAGATCATCATACTATTAAAAGAAGCTCTTTTTTAATTCCCCTTCTCTTTTTTTACAGATGTTAGAATAACAGCGGCGGCACCAGTAGCAGCAGCTGCAAAATGAAGCAATTCATATTTTCCAGTATAGCACGACTTGCTCGGATTTTGGCTGGTCCAGAATATTTTTCAATGGCTTTTACACATTTGAAACGCGCCCCGCAACCTTTTTTCGTTATCGTTATCGTCATCATACATACAACATTTGCATATCAACCTATTTACATACATACATACACATCAACATATGTACATGTGTAAGTCTGTTACTCGCTCATATATTTGTTACTATAATAGAAGAATTCCTTAGATTTTGATTTTGTTAATCGCAAAACCGCAAACAGGCAGGACCTTTAAGTTAAACATTCGCAAACACAAACTTATGCCCAAGTCGGAGGACTTTGATCATATCGTAAATTTGTCAATTGTTATGTAAGATGGAAACCACTCCCACTCCCCCAACCCCAACCCCAACCCCAACCCCAACCAAAACACGTACACACGCTCACACCTAGATTGTTGTAAAGATATTTTGAATTAATTAAGTATTTATATACATACATGTATATATAGTACTCATTTATACATATGTATTTACATAAACACATATACACACACGCATATATATTCATGCAGACAAAGCGATTATTAGTAGATATTTTAAAAGGAAAATGAAATGAAATTGAAAAGCCCAAAACCCAAATACATTTAGTCTGTAGTCAATTATTTACTAAGTGTTCCAAAACACCACACACCCACCCACCCACACAATCAAAACAAAAACTACAATTTATAGAAGAAGCAGGAATAATGTTGTATTTGTCAATTAATCCAAGAAGAATAACAACAACAATAATACACCCACATACATACATGCATAGATAGATGTGTATTAACAACTCAATTCAACTCGAATCAATTCTAATGAAAGAGAAAAACCAAAACAAACCTAATATTTATTATTGTGCATTTCCTTTTGTTTCTAATATATTTTTTTTTATAATAATGTAATCTTAAATCGTATATATATAGATATTTGAAAAAAAAAACAACCTGACAGGTCACAATACATACATCTATTCATAAGTGATGCGGTGCTACTGCCATGCAAAAATGAAGAATAGTCAGGAAGACATAGGAGAAGAGAGGAATGTCCTCTATTCACACACACACATACTTTTTTGGTGGCATCGTGTAGTTGTTAGTCAATTGGAAAATGAAAAGCAAAGCAAAAAATCAAAACGTGAAATACAATTTGAATGTTGTTAACAAAAAAAAAAAAGAAAAAGAAAACTAAACTAATCAGATCTTCGAACGTTGTTGTGTTGTATTTGTCGTATTGTTATTGTAAAGTATTGTAACAACATATGGATGTTGCTTGGCACAAACACACACACACAACAACCCACAAATTTATCTAATTATAAAAAAAAATTACAATGTACTTAAGAAATACAAAAATATATATATCTGACATTCTATAGAGATATATATATAAATAAACACTTAATTACCTGGATATATTTATTGTTTTGTCTACTCCTCTTGTGCCCCTCCACCTTCTACTAACCCACCGTCAAGTCAGACGAACCACCAGCCACCTACACCCACAACATCCTCCAAAGCTCTAATAGAAATTTCTTGTCAAATAATTATGTACTTACAATGTAAGCCAAATAATTGAAAAATTAATAAACAAAAAAAAAAAAAACAAAAAAACTATTTGAAACATATATTTAATTTGAGTGAATGATATTTATCGTATTTTTATGTGTTTTCATTTTTTTGTTTTTGTAACAACATTACAAGAGAAAACAAAACAAATAAAACTACTTGTATAAGTGTTTGTGTAGTTTGCAAATTGATCAAATAATAAAAATAAAAATAATAATATGTTAATAATTAAAATGTTGTTTTAATATTTCGCATCGCAGGATGTTAGGAACACAGAGAGTACATTTCGATCTTCTTTTATTGGGAATACACTGATGAATGATTTACTGAATCTTCAGCAATCTATCCAATCGGAAAAAAGTCTGAAAATTTGTGAAATTTTGTTCCGGGGTCGCATGACAAAAAGTGTACGAAAAGTACTCAGATTTACTAAATGTAGACGGCTTCTAATCATTTGACAATAAGACCACTTTCAGTTCCAGGGAAAAGGTGAAATTGGAGTTTTAGTAAATCATATTTAACACATAAAATAGGTACTAAGAAGTGTTAAATATCTCACCATAAATTAGGTTTTGAAACGTACTGAAAATCACTTGATATAAAGATTTGAATTAGTAAACGTTAAGCCTGTTTATTTACGTCGAAAGAAAACAAAGTCCAACGTCATAATTTTTACATTTTTTTTTACATTTTATTGAATGAAAGCAAAAATTTTGGATGTAGCATCAAATTTTAGAATAAGTTTTGATTTGTTCGAATTGGTCACCTTTGGCACAAATTATGAAGCTGAATGAATAATGAAACCGTCACACACTGACCGAATCTTTTTGGGCCATTCCCCACGAAGCGCATGATTGAGGTGATCGATCTATTGGTAATTTTTAGAGCCAACCTTGCTTTCCAAAATACTCCAGACACAATAGTCCAACGGATTGGTATCCGAAGATGTTGGTGGCCATTGTGCCCTGGAAATGAAGCGAGGAACCTCATTTTGTAATCATTCATGGGTTGCGCGTGCTGAGTGCGATGGTGCTGAGACCTGTTGGAATGTCCATGGTCTGCGGCCAAATGTTGCGTGCCCAAGGCTTTAATACACCCTCCCGAATATTTTCGCTATAATATTTGGCATTTATTCTGATGCCACGGTCGATTAATACGAGCGGAGGGCGACCATTGGCTGTTATGATGGCCCACACCATCACCATGGTCGGCGCTTGAGTTCTGGTGGCCGACCGAAGGTGCACATTTTTAGCTGACCTCTTTGACAAGTAAACACAAACATTTTGTTGGTTTACAAACTGCTGGACAACGAATGTTTTCTCCTCGGAGAAAATCAAATTCGGCAGTTCACCACTTTCGGCCAAGCGAAGCAACTCTTTAGCTCTTTTAAGTCTATTTACTTTCTGTTGCGGTGTAAGTCCTTGCACTTTTTAGAATTTCAACGGTTTTACCCCGAGCTCATTTTTCAATATTTTCCGAATGGAATATTGCGATATGTTCAGCTCACGAGCCATTTTATGGCCACTGCGACCCGGGTTTGGATCAAGTCGCTTCTTTACTTTTCGAACCATTTCTGCCGATGTTGCTGTTTTCTTCCGCCCACTTCCTTGACGACGGGCTACGCTACCAGTGTCACGGTAACGAGCGATGGTACGAGACACAAAAGTTGTATTCACAATTAAATGCCGGAGTGCTCTAATGATAGGCACTTGTGAGTTTCCAGCCAAATATAAAGAAATCACACTAACTTTCCATCACGAATAACTTTTTTCTGGCAAATTCTCACCAAAATGCTTTTGTAATTGTTAACTGGAATAATTTTAACAGCTGTCGGACGAGTGGCTTAGAAATGGCAGCAGTCTGAAGTTGGTTACAGTTTTTTCATCTCACCCTGTACATTTCAAAGGAAGTGGACCAATGTGTTTCATCAACTCGAAAAGCGGTTTCTCAAATGAAAAAACAAATATAAACTTTCAAGCAAACGCTGTACTGAAAATGGCGCCCAAAGTGTTCTTGAGCAGCAACTCAAATAAAGAAATGATTATCTCTCCCAAGAGAATTATTGCCTTAGCTCCTCCGCCCTTGAGATATTTATTCCAAACGAGTGACTTTTATTTTATTCGCATGCTTTAATTTAATCGTCCTCTAATTGGATGCAATATCGTTGGCCGAAATTCATTCTACTGGTTTAAAACTCACTGAACTGAGACAGTTTGCAATGTTTAATCGTTCAAACAACAACTTTTGTTTAAAAAAAAAATAACAGCTAAATAAGCTTTTTAAGCTCCAATTTTTACATTGCGATGGAAAGAGCTTTAAGCATTCAAACATTTTGCAACAGAATTGGGATCGCCAAAATCAGTGGTGTTGACTTGACGTTTTGTGGAGTGTGATTTTTCTCTTGGCAAATTGGCGGCCCCAACCGTGCAGGGTACGAACGGCACGCCATTTATAAACAACGAGGCAACCGTTATCGAAAGTAGATCGTTACCAGCCTTATCGAAGGCAACACAACACCAATTTCAAATTGCGGACCAAAACAAAAAAGGAAAATAATTAACAATAACAACAATTGAATTGAATACAAATATAAAAAAAAAATAAATTATTAAACATTTGAATAAACACACAAAAAACATGAGCGGTGTCTTGAGACGGGGGTCACTAAGTTTTGACCTTGATAACCGATCGAAACGCGGTAGCATCGAATCGAATTTGTATGGCGGATATCGGGATATGAAAAATGCCCCAACTCCCGAAATCAGTGTAATATCCTTTGACTTTCGGCGGCATTCGGCCGATTTGAAAAAAGACAACACCAACAATGGCGACAGCGACCCAATTCATCAGCTGCAAATACCCGTGGATGTGCCAAGGAAACCCAGCGACGATCCCGACAGCGATATAATATCCAATTTCATTGGCCATTATGGCAAATGGAACTTCATTTGGACATTTGTCTTGAGTTTGTTTCAAATAACTCCCACTTTTCAAATGTTTGCCTTTGTGTTTCAGGTGAGCAATAAAATCAATAAGATCGACAACAAAACAACAACAACGAAAAGTGAGACATTCAAATAAATAAATCGTGAACTTAACTTTAACCATTACCTGTACTGAAAATGTCGATATCTTTACACCAGCTGTGAACTAATATTTGTGTCTATGTATGTGTGTGTGTGTCGTCCAATTCCTTGCTATTTAAATCGTTTTACCTTTAAATGGAAAAATAGCCAAGCAAAATGTGCTTTTTGAGAAATGCCGCCGCCAGTTAAAAAAAGTTGTAAAAAAGAGTGTTTTTTTATTTTCTTTAACCAAAAACAAAAAAAAAACGATTAAATAAATTTGTATTTGGAATACAAATGGCCTAATGATCGGCTAATCATTTGGTTCTTATCATCCTCAATGAACGGCAAGACCGTGTCTATCATATCTGAGTGCGTCCAGTTATCTAAGGCCTAATTATCAACAACCGTTACATTGACTGTGGCAAATTGTAACTTACATACGTTGCACATACATACATACGTATATCTGCACATGTTACATATTTCTATTGAGACATCAAAAACCTTTCAAAAAACAAAACAAATTTGAAGTGTTTGCGGTTTGTTTGTTATTGGAGCTGGGCATTGTTTGCACAGCTTTCAAGTGCCACACAAAAAAGTAGCTGCGGCTAGTAGAGGCCAATATGTTGACATTCGAACGACGTCAAACGTCAAGCTAAACTTCCAAGCGCCGCAATGCAAAATATGACCCTTGACTGCGGCCATACCAAATTTTCGAAGACATTAATCCAAAGAATAAACAATTGTTGATAGATAATTGATAAAGTCTGTAGGTGGAAATAGATATGCGAATGTGAATAGTTATTTGACTGGTGATCTTGTAGTGAGCTATAAAATGGGTTCGTGTATGTATATGTTTTCAAAGACTAAGTTCATCTTTGAGATAACATGACTTCAGTCAAATCGCATTTTTCAAATCTGCCCATGTATTTTTCATTATCGTTTTTTCTTCTACAACAGCTTATGTGCCAAAAAATAGTTCATTTAGAGTTTACTGTACAAAATTGGGACTCCAAAGATTTTAGTAAGGATTCCTTTTAGGAAATCCCTGTAAATGTCTCCGGAACCTGCGTATCCCCCATAAATAAATGTCTCCCCATTAATTCCAACCAGATTAGGACATTAAATCTCTTTTCAGCAAATGACGAATAGTGATCTACTATCCACAAAATCTTCAATACAGGTATATGGTATGATAAACCGTACTTATCAACATTATACGTACTCAGGAGTTCCTTGTACTTTAACACAACATTTTTGGTTGGGGAAAGTGAAATGCTGCCATAGATGTTACAATCACATACATGTAGAGATTTTCCAAAAATGTAGCAAGAATACTACCTATGTCATAAATCTGGCGTTTATGATGCCAAAATTAACATTCGGAAACATACTTCTTGTTATAAAAGTAGATAATTAAACCGTTTTATTTTTTTAATTTTTTTTAGATAAACACATTAGAACTTATGGACTATCCCGAAAATTTCCCAATTATTTTTCAACCCAATTTTATAGAACCTTTTCAGTTTTCAAAACTGTCAAGATACAATTTGCATTTCCCAAACAGAGTGAACAACAAATTTCATTTCCTCTCGACTAAAATATTGAAAACATCGATCGAAAATGTTCCTCCCTTCCACGACGTCAACAAACAATTAATTATTCTTAGAATTTTACAATTGCCTTTTCGGCGAGCATTATCAGAGCAATTCTATTTGCTCGGCGTTCTCGAAGTGAAGTTGATTTATCTGAACGTCGTCGTTATTTGTCAATAATATACCTGTCTGTCTGCACTAATTGGGTGGGGAACGGTAGCAAGTGAAGTGTTCGAAGTGGAATCTTTATTGCAAAGAAGCGGTAGTAATGCCCTCTCAAATGTGATTTATGCTGATAACGGGGCTTTATCTCTCTCGTGTTTATTATGGTACTCCAGTGTTGGCATTTGCTTTTATTTTTATGTTGCTTATCACCTGTATCGTCTACACGACTCATGTTGCGGATTGTCACAGAAGATATGCTAAATGAGTTTGCGATTTGTATACCCTGTCTGTTTCAATGGAACAACAATGTACTCTGCTGCTTCAGGGACCAATACCACGTTGTCCCGTCCATTAATTTTTCTATAATTTAATCATGCCAATTTTTGTACAAAATGTTAACTGCTTACCCTTCCCCCCTAAAAAGACAATGCTATACGAATACCACAGTAATTTGCAAAACCAAGCAACCCAATCTTCTCAAATAACAACATCTCATATTCTTCGGTTACATAAAAGAATCACTTGTGGAGGCAAGATTCTCGACTCATACACGCACGCACATTCTCTTCGAAACGACATCATTTATTTTGACAATGACAGTGCAGTGCGGTTAAACTAATACCAGCATTTAAATCTTAATAAGCTTTACTTGAACCCAACTAATGACAGCCATCAATGGCACGCACCCGTCCGAAAACTCAACAAGTTAATCGCAAGCGGGCCATATGTGCGTTCACAATTACGTCGCATGCAAATTACACAAACGAACAAACACACATACATACACACAACAATGGAATACCCATACTACTGCATTGAACAGATGCACTCTCGCACTGTGTGCTCGCTCCCGCATGTTTCAAATGCACGACAAGTTCCGGTAATATATCACCGGCAACAGGTTTCACAAAAATTGACAGTTATTTCGTGTACAGTGAGATGCGATAATAAGTACAGAAAACAAGTGTTCTGTATACGAACTAAAGGTTGGGACACATTAGCAGTTCGACGTCGTAGCATGGCATATTAAGGACACATTATGAAATTATGAAAATGGTATTAATGGCTTTCATGTAGTATGCAGATTGATTGATTTAATAAAAACATAAATCCCATAGGCATATAAAGACTCGTACATTTAGGGTACTATCCATGTTTCATAAAAAAATTAAATGCAATTCTGTGCTGGAGTCTTATATTGTCAAATAGACTTTTACATATGCAACAGTTGGTTTTGTTTATTTTTCATTTTTTAACAAAATTCTTGTATTGGGGAAAACCCGCAAAACAAGAATGAAATTTTGAGGTTATTCCACAATATTGATTGAAATATCTAAATTAGAAGGACAATGCAGTTTTATTTCAAAATTGTACAATGTGTCGTCCATTAACGTCGAAAATATGCATTTATTTTGCAACTGAATTTGAAATAATTTCAAATTATTGTATTTTTTTATTCAAAACAATACACACACACACAAAATGTGTATATGTTTAGACAGAATAAGGGCACCACAAACATGGATTAAGGGGGTAGCTTTGTTAAACCTTCTGTAATTGTGTCATGGTACTAGAATAAAAGAAGATTTTTCATATTAATAAAAAGTGGTACTATATATTGATGAGAAATATACTTGAGTCGAAACATAAATATAAATATATATATTTATGTTCAAGCAATCACCAGTAAATTAGATTTTATCGAGAGGCGCTAAAGAATTAAAAATGTTTGTGCATAAATGGAAGCTTACATTCGTCCTATATTTATTGCTTTGTTTTTTTTTCTTGAATTTCCATTTTTGTCTTGCTTTTGCGGGGTAATTTTTTCGTAGTTAGGATGAATCGTTTATGTCTCAAAAAGTTTGCCGTTGTCTCAAAAATATATACATGCATACATAAAACTGTATTATTGTAATACCAACTCAATGACGCCTACTGTATATCACAAAGGGTGTTGACACACCCCTAACTAATCGCAAATCACGTTATTTTATTGCCATCCACCATGCCATGAAATCCTACATCCAATAATTCTTCATCGAAATTAAAATGTCGGATTTCGTCATAAGTGGCGTTTAATGAAATGAAACGCTGTTCATTGCCTCCGTGACGATGGCATGTGCTCCGCTTGCAGCCAATCGATATCGCTCGTCACCTGTCGACAGTACCGCAGCACGACTTGAAAATAATTTGATAAATGAAATTAATTTACAAACAATTTGGCAATTTTGCAACAAAAACAACAATAATGAGGTGTAAGTAGTGTGACAAAATAATCAACAATGATTGCATAAATTATTATCATTGTTGTTGTTGTTATTGCTGTCATACACAGACCAATATATCTGTGTATGTCTATTAAAACAAAGGTCTGTCTGGTAACTTTTTCTACAAAAAATTTTCATCAACTTCTTTTAGAGAGAAAGAGAGAGAGAGAGAGAGAGAGAGAGAGAGAAAAGGTGGGTCTATTCTATTTAGTAACAAAAAATGGGAAAAAAGTAAACTGGTAAAAACCTGCAAGCACCATAAAAAGAAACAAAGCACTTTTCTATTAATAATAATATTAAAAAAGGAAACAACTAAGGTGTGGATACTAAGCAGCTTGAAGTCTTCGCATGGCATATTTTGCCACATATCATAAAGGTATGCCAGAGCCGCTCTCGAATCCTGTCGTCGTTTCCCCTAATAATTTGACATTAATATGCCTTACAGCAACAATGTGAAAACATTGTTAAAACTTTTGGCTAATCAGACAGACCTAATGTCTGTGCGGAGTATGGTGCGGCGTGATTTAATGATGGTGATTAAAGGCAACTACTAACTAAATTGGTAAAGGATGGTGAACGGTTTCGATTGACAATCATATGTTGCGTATAGATGCACGCACACACACACACACATGTGAGTGTTGTACCGCACTCTGGTATTTGTGAATTTCAAGTTCAATGTCACACTCAAACATTCTCCGTAGCATAGCAGCAGGTTTGCATACGATCTTGCAGTTGTTTTAAGGAAGTGTTTTCCCTCCACTCTGTTGACCCCCTCGACAAACTCTTTGACTGCAACTCGCCATAACTTCCGTTTAATTTAGTTTTGTCAATGATTTTTCGCACTTCAATGTTTGTCAACTTTCTAAAACAAACGTTCGTTCGAACCAAAAATACGCGGACTTACAAACCGGTTGTCA